TATATATATATATATATATATATCAATTGGGATCACTTCCTCTAGAAACTATTTCAACCAGTAAGAGTTGAAACACCAGCATATAATCTATGTGCTTGCACCTTAGTGATCAGAAGTAGCAATAGGTGATCAGAATATAGAAACTTAATATTGGAGGACAAAGTCCTTATTGCTCATTCTGGAAAGCCACAGCAAAAACATGGGCTGCCATCCACCAGCTGCTGCCTCTTACAGGGCTTGGTTTGGAAGATGGGTAGTCACTATCATGCTAACCGTTGAAATTGATTGATATTAGACTCAATTCACCAGCTTAGCTCTTCCCTAGAAGCAACACGTGCTTAAATATACTCCAGAGCTGCAAAATACTTCAGTTCTTTTTAGCACAATTGCTATCTAGGTGAAGAGGATTCCTCTTTTGCCTTCTACCCTGGGGCTACTCAAGAGTAATTATTGAAGTTTCAATTTTCTTCTTCTTTTAAAAAATTGTTTTGATTATTATAGGCCTTAGGAATTTTTATATAAATTTAAAAATCAGTTTATCAATTCCTACAAAAATGTTGCTGGAATTTTGGTTAGAATTGCATTACACCTATAAATAATTTAGGAATAATTTCCTTGTTGGTAATATTTATTCTTCTGATTTAAGTCTATGGAATAAGTCTGTATTTTCTTATATCGTTCATTTTCCTCAGCAATATTTTGTAGAAAAATGTATAATTCTTGTACATAGGTGTTAAATTTATCTCCAAGTATTTTAGGTTTTTTTTCTTGACATTGTTCATGGGGAATCTTAAAATTTTCTTTTCCAAATGTCCATTACTACAATATACAAAAATAACAAATTTTTATATGCTATCATACTATGACATTACTAAGAATTTTTTTAAGAGTGATTTTTTTTGCTATAGGGAACTTGTGTTTGTTAGAGAGACAGAAAGCAAGAAATCACCCCCAAGGAGTGGGAGTGGCAACACTGCAATCCTTTCTCCTCCAGTCTTCTCTTGGGATTTTGGGCATGCATGCACACACACACAGCATGCACACACACACATCAAGTAGACAGGTCTGGGAGTTGAACCGTTGTCGACCACATGGGATTCCAGTGATGTAACCAGTATGCCATCTGCTTGTCCCACTAAACTTATTTATTATCATTTTTAATAGGTTTCCTAAAATTTTCTAGGTAGACCTGTGAGTGAAAACATTTTTACTTTCAAAGTTTTTATCCTTTTTTTAAACCTTATTACACTGTGTATAGTCTCTAGTACAATGTTTAAGAGAAGAACTGAGCATGCCCAACTTACCCTTACTCTTAATCTTAGGGTAAAGAGATTCAATATTTTATCCTTAAATATGACACTGTCTGTAGGTTTTTCAAAGAATAAACTTACCCTATTTTGTGGGATTTTTAAAAATTATGAATGGGTGTTGGCCTTTGTAATTTTTCATTTTATGTTTACATCTTTATTACATTATCTGTGCATCATATTACAACTAGAGAAAAGTAAAAAAAAAACTCTGTTGCAAGTTCTTTAGAAGAAATAGTAACACAAATTATTCACACTAGACAATCCACCCACTTGAAAATGATGCTGGACACATATGCATGTGTGTTCCTCTGCAAAAAAAAAAAAAAAAAAAAAAAAAAAAAAAAAAAAAAAAAAAAAAAAATCCCCCAGCACACAAAACTCGTGGGCTTGAAGAACACCATCCAGGCACCGTGTCTCTGAAGCTATGTCTCTCTCTCTCTCTCTCTCTCTCTCTCTCTCTCTCTCTGGTGCATGTATGTACCCAATGGCAAAAACCTTAAAAAAAAAATTATTATTTCATATGGCCTTCAGTCATAACCTCCTGCAACTGAGGAATAACTGAAGTTGTTATGAAAAGGAGACACAGATTAGAGAGGAAAGGATAAAATCTAGAATTCAACTGTAATTAATGCATTAATCCTAGCTTCACATGTGTTCATCTCTATAATTACCTAACATTTCTGAACCTGTTTCCTTAGTTGTAAAACAAGAATGATAACCTCTTAGGGATTTTATAACAATTACTTTAGTTGACTTTGTAACTTTACCTACCAACTGATAATCTCATTTCGTTATCATTAAGGATAAGGAAATTTAAAATCAGAGCACTTAAAACCTTGAATAAGCACAGCAACTATAAATCATGCCTTTCTTTTAAATAATGAATAAATTATAACTAAAATGAAACAAAAATTTGGTGATGAGTAAAATACCAAGGTCTCTCCCAAAATGCCATTTATCCTCACATAAAGAGTCCTCCAATGAGGATAAGATATAGGTATGGAAAACAGATTAGGAGGGTAGAGAACCCCCACAATGATAATGTAAGAGTGTGTGTAGATTCTCAGTTTAGGCCTGTCCTTATCCAACTAAGTGTAATTCATGTATCCAGTTATGTTTCAAAATAACGAATTGGTTCCAATCTCTTCAACAAATGGAAGAGGTAGTGTATTCTGACTCTGCAAATGACTTCAGAAAGGCACAAATTGCTAAAAACCAACAGTAATGACAACTGTCTAAAAATAATCATGGAAAGAATGGGAAGCATTAACTAAAGGTTGTATAAGATGCTGGCACTTAACCATTTTAAAAACTCCCGGGACCAGCAGTTAGCGTAATGACTATGTCGCTGGACTCCCATGTAGTCAACCCTGGTCAGAGTCCCAGACCCAGTGGCTTAAAACTCACACTGGGCACATGTGCGTGTGTGCCCAAGATTCCAAGAGGAGAATGGAGGAGAAGGGATTGTGGTGTGGTCATCCCCCTTAGGGGGTGATTTCTTGCTTTCTGTCTCTCTGTCTCTGTCTGGCGAGCACACACACCCTATAGCAAAAATGTGCCCTATCTCAAAAAAAAAAAAAAAAAAGTAACTCCCAATAAATCTCTCTTGTCTGTAAAATCCAAATTTCCTAGCCTAGCATTTTATCTAACTGCTTACCATCTGCCATCACACCAAGCTGTGTTTTGTATCCACTGTTTCCTTCATTTCCTCTACCTGGATTTTGCTTCTGTTTTATTTAATCTTACCTTTTATGCCTGAGAAATTTCCACTCATTCATCAAGACATTGATCCATCACCTCTGCTGTGGAGCAATTCCTACCTGTCTCAGGATTGGGTCATCTTGTATGTTCTCATAAAGCACTTAGTACCTATTTCTATAATAACAGCTCCTGAATTGTACTATTGTTATTCATTCATATGTTAATCTACCTAAAATTGTGAATATCTTAAGAGCAACACCCAAATTTAATTATCTTTGATTTCCAGTATTTATTTCATTTAAGTGATCAATAAATCATATCTTTAAAATGAATATATAAATATTGACTTGAAAATTGTAAATGCCTTAGAAGCTGTATAATAGTAAGCATGGGAAGAATATTTGAGGAAATCTTAATTAAATTCCTTTGTTTAGTATTTGAGATAACAAAGAGTGATGATTTGTCAAAAATAATACCAATGATTTGATGGCAAAATGACTGATATTTGTTTTCTAACTCTTCATGTAGATGTTATTTTCTATTTATTGTCTTAAGTAAGAGATAAAAAATAATTTAGGAACAAAAAAAAACATCAAATTTGATTCTGTTATATTAATGTCCCCCTATTTGTTTTACAGGTTGTGTTTTTCTTGCCTTCAGATATTACTCAAAATAATGAACAACCTGCCCCACAAGAACATTCTTTGCTACAATTTGAACTTCAAGAAGAGTGTTCCAGTGATAACAGAATAAACACACAGACTGTTTTCTTTGGAGGCTATGCTTTCTTCAAATTAAGAATCTCAAGAAGTCCTTTAGACTCCCAACCCAGATCACAGCTATGTAATAAATGTAGGGATAATGATCACACACTTTCTGCATCTGTACCAAATGAACAACAGAAAAGAATCCCTCCACCTTTTGAATTTTCAGAAGAAGAGACTGAAATTAAACTTTTGTCTTCCACATTAGAGATAAGACCTTGGGAAAATATTGCACCCATTCAGCAAGACTCTAAAACTGAACAACTGAAAGATGAAGACCTACTATATGCTTTGGTACAACCTAACAAAACACAAACCCAATTGCTTAGGAACCAAGCTTTCCCAGTCCACACACTAAAACTTCAAGCTTTGCCACCTGAAGAGCTTCCATCTCAAGCTCTACCAGTACAAGACCTGTCAGAACAAGCCATGTTATCTCATGACATGACACCTGAAGACTTGCCCTCTAGAGACAAATTATCCCAGGATGGACTATCTCAGGACATGCCATCCCAAAATATACAATCCCTACACATGCTCTCTCAAGGTATGCCATCCCAAGACACACCATTTCAAGACATGTCTTACCAAGCTATGCCGTCCTATGCTCAAGACCAGCAAATTATACATGTAGAATATCAAGACATTCGATCAGAAGTCATGGAACTGACTCAAGAATGGAAATCTGAAGAGGAACTTCATGGAAGAAAATCCTCCAGACGGCTTTCCTTGGACAAGAAAAGCAAAGATGGAAAATCTACAAGAAGACATTCCTTAGACTTGCAAAGTAAAGGCAAACAATCTCCGAAACGGAGATCCCTGGACCAGCAAATCAAAAACTGGCTATATCCAAAGAGGCACTCCATAGATAAACAAGCCCAATATATTCAAACCCCTGAGCAATTCCCAGATCAGCAACTTGAAGATAAACAGGTCAAAGAGGAGAAATCCTCAAGGGAACAATCTAAAGATGAACAAGATAAAGATCAGCAGGATGGTGAAGAGCAATCCCTAAATAAACAAATCCAAGGTCAATCAGTGGAAGAGGAAAAATCCTCAAAGGAACAATGCCAAAATTGGCAAATTGAAAGAGAGAAAACTCAAGTGGAGGAACCTCCAAAGCAGTTATGCCAAGACTGGAAATCCCAAATCCAGCAACAACAAGAAAGGCAGTCCCCAGTAAAGCCATCTTCAGATTTGATGTGCCAAAACTGGCAATCTTTTGGCAAGCAATCTCAAGATTGGAGAGATCAAGACTGGAGAAATAAAAATTGGAGGGAACAAGAATGGCAGTTTGAAATGCACCATTCTCCAATCTGTGACCCTCAAGCCTGGAAAAATCAAGACTTTCAACCAACAGTTAAACAGGAAGATGTAATGCAAACAAAAGACATAAAACCAAGGGACATTAAATGTACAGACCAAAAACCAATGGAATGGCAATCAGAAGGTATAAACCCAAATTTTCAATCTTCTTCCCAAAGTATGGTAACAAACCCATGTTTAACCTATTTGCCCAGTAGGGATTCAGAGCAAGATGTGCAACAAAACACTTCAGTTTGCTCAAATTTATATGAAGAAGATCTGAATTTAACTTCTACTTCATATTGTCCAAAAGAACAACAGCAATCTGAAGACTCCAACTAGCATGAAAAATCTACCGAAATACCACACTGCCCCCAAGAATGGAACCAAATTAAGTAAATACAATACGATCTCCTCCAACCTATGTTCTCAACTGTGATTGCTACCTATATCATCAAAATTAGTGTTTAATGTCTGATCACCAATTCATTTTACAACTTAATATTTAATGGACTTACTTTTCTATGGGATCATTTTTGCCCCTCTGTTATGCATTACAGGAGTCCAAAAGTCATCTGGGAATAAATATATGCAGGCTTTCTAAGGGCTCAAGAATCAAGAGTTGGCAAGAAATAAAAATCACTCCCACATTCTCCTGTTTTGCTCTTTCTGATCCTTCCACTTACTCTCCCTCCCCAAATTTATGTTGAGGATATATACACTAAGTTTGTTCAATTATTAATGAAGTAGAATGTGAAAATGAGTATAGATGTTGCGGGGGTTGGGTGGATGGGAGAATAAAACACTCCTAGAAACAGAAAAGTGAGTCAGAGCAGGGCATAAATGCTGCCATCATAATAGGAATCACAACACACTGTCATGTATCAGCTGAAGTTCTAGAGGTCATAAATCTGAACTCACTGTTTCTAATTTCTCAACCCTTATTGTATATAATTCTATCATTGCCTGCAGTCAAAAAATTATATTATCAAAAACCCACAGTTATTTTTCATCTTCCAAGCCTAATCACCTTTTCTCATTTTTTTCTATCTCTCTGGTACATTTGGAGACATTAACCATCCCTTCTTTACGTAATTTCTGTCACCCCTATTGACTCCTGTGTTTGCTTTACCTGTTTTAAAAATTCTAAAATGGTGAAGAGAAATAGCAGGTGGGATGGTTAAGGTGCTGACTCCCACATGGCTGACTGCAGTTCAAGTCCTGGACCTGGAAACTTGAAAATCACTACCTCCCAACAGGTGTGTATGCATACATGCCCAATGGCCAACCCCCGGGGGATGATTTCTCACTTTCTCTTTGTCTTTCTCTGTCTCACTCCAGTGAGTGCACACACCATATGGCAAAGAAACCTTTTTTTTAAAAAAACCTAAGATACATATTTCCAGGTATTTCTCCCCAACTCACTTCTTTTGCAAAATTACATGCACTCTTGTTCTCTCACCTTCTTGTGAATAATCCAGACTGCACCATATTTGTGTCTTCTACAGAATTTAGCACAAAGACTTGCTTATAGCATTCAAAAAGGATAAATGGGGGACCAGCAGTTGGTGTAATGGTTATGTTGCTGGACTCCCATGTAGCCGACTGTGGTTCACGTCCCGGACCCGGTTGCTTAAAACTCATGCTGGGCACGTGTGCGTGCGTGCCCAAGATCCCGAGAAGAGAATAGAGGAGAAGGGATTGTGGCGTGGCCATCCCCCCGGGGGGGTGATTTCTCACTTTCTGTCTCTCTGTCTCTCTGGTGAGCGCACACGCCCTATAGCAAAAACCTCTCCAAAAAAAAAAAAAAAAGAATAAATGGGAGCTTGGATGAATGGAGAAGTCATGTGTAGTAGATTAATGAGGTCTAGAGTTGTAGTGACTGGCTATATACCCTGTGTTTCCTTTGCCTTTGTAGTAAGGATTAGCTTCCTAGGCTTCCAAGATTTCTGATCTTGGTAGGGTCCCTATCTGAGTTAGCCTCTGGTTCCTGAATGAACACCACCTTATATTCAACTTAATCTATACAATACTGATAATTTCCACTTTATGCTTCAGCTAAAATAGCACGTATTTATGGTACTTGTATAATTGGTTTAACTTTTAGTCTATAGACTCAGGCGTTTGGGAAATAAATATTCATAATTTTTTTTTTTTGGAGAGTTTTTTTTTTTTTTTTTTTTTTTTTTTTTAGGGCATGTGCACTCGCCAGACAGACAGAGAGAGACAGAGAGACAGAAAGCGAGAAATCACCCCCCCCCACCCCGGGGGGATGGCCACGCTGCAATCCCTTCTCCTCCATTCTCCTCTTGGGATCTTGGTCATGCACGCACACGCGTCCAGCGTGAGTTTAAGCCACCGGGTCCGGGACTTGAGCCGCGGTCGCCTACGGGGGAGTCCAGCGACATAGCCATTACGCTAACCGCTGGTCCCAATATTCATAATTTTAATCAAATTATTTGAGAATCCAACCCAGATAGTCACTCATGTTTAATGAGTCCTGTATCTACCACATACACACACATACACATGTATGTGCATATGTTCCAGAGTCCTGGAGTCTTATATAGTGCCAAATCATTGCGTAGGTAATTCTTTCCATCAATGACTACAACAGTTACCTCTGAGACATTATTTGTCTCAGCTCAAACTGATCCTATATGTTCCATGAACTTGTTGCTTCCATACTACCCTTGGAATATGGGGATTTTCCCAAAACTGCAAGAATCTAGTGTCTGTGATCTAGATATAAAAATATAAAAAAGGAAGCATGCAAAAAACTATTCCCTTTCAGGTCTTTCTATCCCATTGAGGAAGATGCCAGGAAAAAAAGTCAGAAAATCCCAGTGCCTTAGAACCCAAGTCACCTTTCCAATCAATAGAAATCCCTCTTTTCCCTCTGTTTTTCAAAGGCTTTCTACACCCCCTCTTAAATTCCATTTTGAGATACCTACAATTATCCTTCCAATGAATTTGGGTCTATAGTTGACAAAATAAAGTGTATTCAGGAGCCCGTAAGAGAATGTAAATATATACCTGTTTATAAGACAAGACACAAAGGGCTATGGGGAGCCAGAACAATTATGATTTATTTTTTATTTAAATTAAAAATTGACTTATAAATGTGTTTTTCCTAGAATCTATTAGGCTTGTTTCTGGTAAAATTAGGAACGTTGTTGATTTTCAGATGCTACTAGCTTACATCCAGCCCCTGAAATCACCTACATTATTCTCACAATATATTTCCCCTCATCCACTGGCCAGATGTAGAGAATCCATGACTCAGACAATGCTGATGCCTAGAAAATGAAGGCTGATCCATAGGCCACTGCATAGATTAAATACATTTCTGAATATTTAACTAGACTGTAACCTAACCTAAGAGAGAAAGGAACATTTATGATATCAAGTCAACTGTGCAGAAGTTGACTTATGCTATAATTAAAACATAAGACTTCAAGTCTTGCTCAAAATGATAAAAAAAATCTACCTTTATCCCTTTGTGTGGGTTATTTATCACTGTGTAATAACACAAATGTAGCTGCTGAAAATAATACATCTATTATCTCTCAGTGTCTATTGAAGTCCAGGAGAGCCTGATTAGATTTGTTCAGGATATCATTTGGCTAAAATCAAAGTACTAGCCATAGCTGCAGTCCTTATAAAGATGATTCATTATTAAAAGAATTCAGTTATTAAAATTTTCATCTGTAGAACTAAGGTCCCCATTTCCTTGCTGACTTTCAGCTTGGAGCTCATTTCTGCTCCTGGAAGCCATCTGCATTTCTTCTCATGTGACCCTTTCCATATACAACTAAATAGTGATGTCTTCGGTCCTTCTCAACCATCAAATCTGACTTACTCTCCTGCTTTTAAGACCTCCTGAGATTACTTTTATCTGCTGCTTTAATTTGTTTGCATTATATAACAGAGCCCTTGAAACTGGGTGCTTTATAAAGAAAAGAGGTGTATTTAGCTCACATTGCTGGAGACTAGCAAGTCCACGAGTATCATCCTAACATCTAATTGGCTTCTGGTGTGAGCCATATATTAAGTTACAACATGGCAATGAAGCAGAAAGACGAGCATGTATTGGCAACAAGACATGCATAAAAGTTGGGCTTGGTTTTTAACAACAAGCACTCTCATAGGAACTAATCCATTCTTTCCAGATCACTCCTAAAAGACTTTAATCTATTCATAAGGTTAGTGTCATTATGATCCAAATACCTCCCAAAGGTTTCACTCCTCCATACTGCCATGTTGGGGGTTAAATTTCTTTTTATTTAAAAAAAAATGTTTTTAATTGTCAGGGGATGCATATGCTTGAGAGAAGGAGAGACAGACAAAGAGGGAGAAATTAGTGATAAGAGATTGGCTAATGCTATTACAAAGGTTGAAATATGGGGTAGAAATCCTTTCTGAAAAAGAATGATCTCTATGTAACCCCTCATTTGTGCCTATAATACCTAGAAAGGAGCATAGGTTTATTACAGTGCTAAAGGCTGACCTTACTGTTGGTGAATCACTCACTTATGAAGAGTCCTCAGTGGGACACAGGTGTCCTTTTCATCCCTTAGATTCTCCATCAATTCACAAGGTAAATGTCCATCTCTCTGCTCCCCCACTAACATGTACATACACACACCTCTCTTTTTCTCTTGTTCTTGTGATAGTCTTCTACCACTCTAACCTTCCCCTAGAATCCGTGTGTGGAGTTTCTGGTGAGAGACTTAAGATTATATAAATCACTGAAGAAAGCTTTTGGTCCTCAAGGCAATGTTCTGAAGTAGCACAGTGAATCCATGAAATCTAAATCTGAACCAATTGGATTGTAACTTTGACATTGCAACATTATTAGTAGGGATGTGTTGGTTAAAATCCCTGTACTTCCATTTCCTCACCTGTAAAAGATGAATAGGAATAGTGTTCAGCATAGGATTACTATGGAGATTGAATAAATAATGCATGTCTAGTGTTTAAAAGAATATCTGGCAAAAAGCAATTATTTAATTTTCTTCATAATAAAACTTCTAAAATTAAATTCTTACAGTACTTATTGTTTTTTATGACATAAATTTGATCTATTTTATTCAAAAGAGAATTATTTTAATTCTGAATTACACAAATTATCCTCTTGCAATGAACTGAACTGTATTCCTTCCTCAAAATTCATGTGTAGAAGCCTTAATTCCCAATGTGATATTTGGAGGTGAGCTTTTTTTTTTTAAAGAGGTTTTTGCTAGAATCAGTAGGTGGGGTGGTGGTTAGGGTGTTGTACTACCATATGGCCAACCATGGTTCGAGTCCAGATCTGGTGACTTGTTTTCTGGTTAAATTAAAAGATAAATAATAACAAAATAAAATAAAATAAATCTTAAAATAAAAGAGAGAGAGAGATTTTTGCCTTAGAGCTTGTGGGTTTGTCAGAAAAAGAGACAGAAAGTGAAAACTCATCCCCTAGGGAAGATGGCCATGCCACAGTCCTTTCTCCTTCATTCTCCTCTTGGGATTTTGGACACACACACGTGCACCTGGTGTGATGTTCTAGTCACTGGGTCTGGTACTTGAACCACTGGCCATGTAGGAATCCAGCAATGTAACTGCTACACAATCTGCTGGACCCAGGAGAAGGGCCTTTGAAAGTACTGGAGTCACATGAGGATTTGAGCTGAGCTTTCAAAATGAGATTAGTATCCTTATCATAAGGGACACCAAAGAACTTGTGCTCTCTCTCTATTTCTTTCTCACAATGTGTGTGTGTGTGTGTGTGTGTGTGTGTGTGTGTGTGTGTGAAGACATAGTAAGATAGTAGATAACTCCAAGTCAGAAAGAGAGCCATCTCAAGAAATCAAAGTACCATAATCTTGGATTTCCAGAATCCAGAACTGTAAGAAACAAATTTCTATTATTTGAGCTATTCAGTCTATGGTACTTTGTTATGGTAGCCTGAATAGACTACTACACATCCTTTTTTGTGAAGGGTGAGAAAGGGAGTGAAGACACAAAAAGCCCATCTGACCACATAAAACAAAGTATGATTTTTCCTTTGGAAATAAAATCCCTTGGGGGAACCAGCAGTTAGCGTAATGGCTATGTCGCTGGACTCCCACGTAGTCGACCGCGGTTCGCGTCCTGGACCCAGTGGCTTAAAACTCATGCCGGGTGCATGTGCGTGCATGCCCAAGATCCCGAGAGGAGAAGGAGGAGAAGGGATTGTGGCGTGACCATACCCCCTGGGGGGTGATTTCTCGCTTTCTGTCTCTACGTCTCTCTCTGTCTGTCTGGTGAGTGCACGCGCCCTATAGTGAAAAACCTCTCCAAAAAAAAAAAGGAATAAAATCCCTTGGTAGTCACAAAAGGAATATCTAATATTTCTGCCAAAACTAGAACAGGAATTAGAGAGTTTGTGCCAAAAGATACAGGCAATGGGAAATCCCTAGAAACTGCTTTTGTAGGTGCTGTGAGTTTTGCTATTGTTTTTGAAGTTTGCTCTACATGCAATATTGTGTTGGTACTACTTTAAGGCAATGAAGAATCAGGCTAATAACCAGCAGGACAATGTAGTGAGGAAAAGAGCCCCGATCCATAGAAGTCCAGACATACAGAGAGAACTAAGAATTCAATGGATGCATGAAATCAGAGCCAGAGGCCAGTAGGTTAAATAGAAGCCCCAGCTGTTTCCTTTCTCTCACATCTGCTTTCTCCTTCCAAGAAATATCTGGAAACAATGAGAAGGATACTGAGTTTTAGCTTCACTAATGGGATAAGATTTAAAATTATTATTATTTATAATTTAAAGAGAAAACTAGGAGATTAGGGAGCTTCTAAGCAAACAAAATCTGGTCACACCAATAGATTGCTATTGCTGTACTCTCTAGAGTATGGAAAAGAATCTTTTTTAAAAAGGGGGCACTTGAGGAATGGCAAGTGGTATGTTAAGGTGTCGCCTCCCACTTGGTCAGCTCTGTGGTTCAAGTCCCAGACCTGGCAGCTTGAAAATCACACTAGACACATGTGTGTGCATGCCCAAAATCCTGAAAAGAGAATGAAGGAGAAGGGATTGTGACACTTTTACTCTCTGATGAACACACGCACCTTATGGGGGGAAAAAGGTGGGAAGGCTTTTGTAAGAGAGAAAGATGAAACACTTAAATCTACGTCTCTCTCTGTCTGTCTGGTGAGTGCACGCGCCCTATAGTGAAAAACCTCTCCAAAAAAAAAAAGGAATAAAATCCCTTGGTAGTCACAAAAGGAATATCTAATATTTCTGCCAAAACTAGAACAGGAATTAGAGAGTTTGTGCCAAAAGATACAGGCAATGGGAAATCCCTAGAAACTGCTTTTGTAGGTGCTGTGAGTTTTGCTATTGTTTTTGAAGTTTGCTCTACATGCAATATTGTGTTGGTACTACTTTAAGGCAATGAAGAATCAGGCTAATAACCAGCAGGACAATGTAGTGAGGAAAAGAGCCCCGATCCATAGAAGTCCAGACATACAGAGAGAACTAAGAATTCAATGGATGCATGAAATCAGAGCCAGAGGCCAGTAGGTTAAATAGAAGCCCCAGCTGTTTCCTTTCTCTCACATCTGCTTTCTCCTTCCAAGAAATATCTGGAAACAATGAGAAGGATACTGAGTTTTAGCTTCACTAATGGGATAAGATTTAAAATTATTATTATTTATAATTTAAAGAGAAAACTAGGAGATTAGGGAGCTTCTAAGCAAACAAAATCTGGTCACACCAATAGATTGCTATTGCTGTACTCTCTAGAGTATGGAAAAGAATCTTTTTTAAAAAGGGGGCACTTGAGGAATGGCAAGTGGTATGTTAAGGTGTCGCCTCCCACTTGGTCAGCTCTGTGGTTCAAGTCCCAGACCTGGCAGCTTGAAAATCACACTAGACACATGTGTGTGCATGCCCAAAATCCTGAAAAGAGAATGAAGGAGAAGGGATTGTGACACTTTTACTCTCTGATGAACACACGCACCTTATGGGGGGAAAAAGGTGGGAAGGCTTTTGTAAGAGAGAAAGATGAAACACTTAAAATCAAAGAAAATTGAATTTCAGTTGTAGTAAGAGTAATTCCCATAAAGAGAATAGATTTTAGAAGATTTGAAAATAATAAGAAAGTCAAGGATATGGGAATAAAGCAAAGTAGTGCATACATGTCACTCATGTATGTACCAGGCTAGGGAACTTAGTCACAGGAGGCCATGGGATTCCACAGCCAGCCTGAAATGGAGAAATGGGTACAATAACTTCTGGATGGATTCATTGTAGCATCCCACAGTTCCTATAGCTAAATTCATAAAGATATATTTAGTTGAAAAAAAAAAAACTAAAATGAATTTTTCAAACATAAAACAAGACAATCTGGCTACCATGATTAAAGTGGCAATAAAAAAAAGAAACATTACTTGTTATTATTAATACAATTTATTTAGCATCTACTACCAAGTTATCTAGAATTAACACACAATAATTCTACAAGATAATTATTTTCCCCACAAATGAATGTAATTTTTTAATTAATATGAAAAGTTAATCAAATAGGTAAACTGATAAATAACTTAGCCTAAACCTCATAAGTAGTAAAGAAAAGGGCTTGGAATTAAGTCTAGGTCTTTAAGCTCCAAAGATTAAGTCTTGCATTATACTACAAAATTGGCTTGCATAAATTCAAGCATAATAAAACATTTAAATGATCTTTCTACTATTTCTCAGGTAGCAATTAGAATATTGTTCTAGTCATCATGGTTAGAGAGAAAAAGAAACTGGAAAAAGAAAGTCCAGAGCAAAGCTAAAAAATAATCAGGGTGAAATGAAATATTATAAAATACTAGAAGAAAATTTGCTTAACTCGGAGGACCCTAACCAAATGTCAGATAACTTTCATGAAGGATGATCACCATTAATATTCTATGTTCATGTAAAGCTGAATAAAAGGAGGGTAAATTCAGAGAAAATAAATTATAAAGAGGGGTAGTGTTTTAAAATGGTCTATTGGCAAGTGTCTTGAGGTTATTTTTCTCCTCTCATCATCCATATTCTTACAATAGTACAACACAGATCTTTCCATGAAGATAATGGTCTATCTTCTCACCTATTGACTCTTGGTGGGGGGGAGGGGTCTATGCAATTTGCTTAGACCAGTGGGACATTAGCACACATGAGCTAAGTTTTAAAAGAACTTGTGAATTGAAGGAGAATGAGTCTGCCAGCTACCAGACACATAACTGAGCTCATCCTAACTCACGGAACTCTGGATACTCTGCTAATTGACCACAGATGCCTGAGAACCTGGTACAGAAGAGTTGAACTGGACCAGAACAGAAGAACAACCTATATGACCCACAGAGTTGTGAATAAAATCAAATGGTGGTTGTTTGAAGCCACTACATTTTGGGGTAGTTTGTGAAACAGTTAAAAAATAAAGTTGCAGGCTGAATAAATGCTATGTGTATGTCAGAAAGTGTTGAATCGGGACCAGCAGTTAGCATAATGGCTATGTCGCTGGACTCCCATATAGTCAACCACGGTTCGAGTCCCAGACCTGGTGGCTTAAACTCACACTGGGCGTGTGTGCGTGCATGCCCAAGATCCCAAGAGGAGAGTGGAGGAGAAGGGATTGTGGCATGGCCATCCCCCCTGGGGAGTGATTTCTTGCTTTCTGTCTCTCTGTCTCTCTCTGTCTTTCTGGTAAGCGCATGCACCTTATAGCAAAAACCTTTCAAAAAACAGAAAAAAGAAAAGAAAAAAGGAAGTGTTGAATCAGTTCTGTTGCCTGAGAGGTTTTGTCCTTTACTTGTCTGAAGATGACGAGTTCCCATTTGTTTGGAACCTGAAATATCTTTTTAGATCATCTAGTCCAGTGTGGTCAGTGTACATACACATGAGGAAGCTGAAACCAAGAGAAAGAAATGTGACTTGCTTAAGGTCATACTGCGTTCCCCACCATACCAGGACTATTGTTCTGGTCCTTCAATCCTCAGTCCAGGCATTTTGCTTACTAACCTTCTTGGGATCTTGACCAGTCCTGAGATTCCATGACTCTGTGACTCTATGGTTCTATAATTCTAAGACAAAGCACAACAATGCCAGTTCTCCAGATAGTCTTGCTCCAGGAGAAGAACATGGTCTAGACTGAAGAAACAACTACTTTCCTCCCATTTCAAAATAACAACTGCACCATCATGAATTCAAGCACTGAACACAGTCCTGTGTTTCTGGTATTTCCACCAGAGGTCGCTGTTCCAGAATGCCAGTTAAGAGATCTTACAGCTACAAGCTATGGGACTCAAAGCCCTTTGAAAAAATTATTTGCTACAAAAATGAAAATCTTAGGGGTAAGTAATACTTTACCCTATATACATCCTACTGAGGGGAACAGGAAAAGAAAGGAAAAAAGTATATGGTGGTATATGTTTTAAGGTAGAAGTCAATCCCAATTATTTTTTAACTTCTGTGTTTGTTTTTATTTATTTATTTATTTATTTATTTATTTATTTTTGAGAGGTTTTTGCTATAGGGCACGTGCACTCGCCAGACAGAGAGACAGAGAGACAGAAAGCGAGAAATCACCCCCCAGGAGGGATGGCCACGCCACAATCCCTTCTCCTCTGTTCTCCTCTTGGGATCTTGGGCACGCACGCACACGTGCCCAGTGTGAGTTTTAAGCCACCGGGTCCAGGACGCAAACCACGGTCGACTACGTGGGAGTCCAGCAACATAGCCATTACGCTAACTCCTGGTCCCATTAAATTCTGCATTTTTAAAGTGTACAACATAATGTTTTGGAATAAATACAGATAATAAATTGGCTACTATAATGAACCAGCTGGTGATGTGTGGTAGTTAAGACACTAGACTCCCACATGAGCAACAGAGCTTTGAATCCCAGACCTGGCAGCTTGCTTTCTCACTTTCCCTCTTTCTCAGATGAACACACATGTCCTATATCAAATGAAATAATAATAATAATAATTTTTAAAAACCCATTAAAAAAGTGATTACTATAATGAAGTGAATGAAAATATGTCATCACACATAGTGACTTTCTTTTTAGAGAGATTTTTTTGCTATAAGGCACTTGCACTTGCCAGAGAGATAGAGAAAGACAGAGAGATAGAAAGTGAGAAATCAACTCCTCCCACCCCGGGGGATAGCCACACCACAATCCTTTCTCCTCCATTCTCATGTCAGCATTTTGAGCACACATGCCTAATATGAGTGTTAAGCTGCTGAGTCTGGGACTTGAACTGTGATTGACAATGTGGGAGTCCAGTGACATAACAGGCCATCTTTTGATCCCCATAGTGACCTTTTCTATTTTTTAGTTTTTGTCTCTCTACTTTTTATAATTTTTGTCATTTTTTTCTGAGAGAGATTTTTTTTTATAGGGTACATGTACTTTCTGGAGAAACAGAGACAGAGAAACAAAGTGAGAAATCACCTGCCAGAGGATGGCCATGTTTCAATCCCTTCTCTTCTATTAGCCTCTTGGAGTTTGGGGCATGCACACACATGCACCTGGCACAAATTTCAAGCCTCTGGGTCCAGGACTGGAACCATGGTGGATCATGTGGGAGTCCAGCGAAGTAACCACTACATCAACTGCTAGTCCCAATTTTTGTAAATTTTAACTGACATATAATAATTACACGTACTTATGTGGTACAGTGTAATGTTTCAAAACATGCATAAAATGTGTGATGATCAGGGACCAGAAGTTAGCGTAATGGCTATGTCGCTGGACTCCCATGTAATAGACCATGGTTCGCGTCCCTGACCCGGTGGCTTGAAACTCACGCCGGGTGCATGTGCATGCGTGCCCAAGATCCCAAGAGGAGAATGGAGGAAAAGGGATTGTGGTGTGGTCATCCCCACTGGGGGGTGATTTCTCGCTTTCTGTCTCTCTGTCTCTCTGTCTGTCTGGCAAGCACACGCACCCTATAGCAAAAACCTCTCAAAAAAAAAAATTAAAAAGAAAGAATGTGTGATGATCAAATCAGACCAATGAACACATGTATCAATACAGGAGTAACATCATATTTCTCTACCACCTATGAACAAGATTCTATGGAGAGGAATATACAGGATAAATAAGCTAAGACCCTTGCCCTTGTGTTCTTTGAAGGTCACAGTCTCCAAACAGATCATCTATGAAATTTTTTGAGTCCAGTTCAGAGAAAAGAAAGTGAAAATAAAATCTAGTAGAAGTCAATAGGCCAGATTCTATATCCTGGATTATTGTGTTCTATAGTTTCAAAAATCAGGATTTGGAGTTTCACAATATGACACTGTATTTTATATATGGAGCATTTTTAGAATATCTCCTTAATATTGTTAGTGCGCCTCTCACCATCTACCCACCTACTCATTCCACAAGTATTTTCTTTTACTTACCAACCCTTTTTAAAGGTAATGTGATGATTCAGGTATGTTTGGGACTGCAATATTGTTTTTGAAATATCTTTGAAAACATTTGTCCTCTCAAACCTGTCTTCAAGACTGGAAAATGGAAATTAAACCTCTTTAGAAAAAAAAAATATAAAAAGATGGCCCACGAACACAAAGAAAAAAATTACCAATTTAACTTGCTTTCACATCTATTCAAATATGATGCGATCCAAACTTTTGCTAGAGTTAAAATTATTTGTAAAAATAAATATTAAATTCTGTGTAGGAACTGTATTAGAGGAAGAGGATTATAGAAATAAACACATAAAGTTTAGAAATAAAGACATAAAATTTAGAAGAAATAATAGTATGTTATAATAAGAAATTAATAAAAAGTGATAACAGAATTAAAATATTAAAAATTACTTTTCAACATAACATCTAATAAGAACTATAAATGGTGGTTGTAATGGTGGGGGACCAGAGAGAGACTGCTTATATCCAGCTAAAAGCAATGAAGCGGGCCAGTCCTATGGTCTGGTGGTTAAGGAAAGCTGAATCCTACATGGCTAACCCTGAGGTCCAAATCCCAGATCACGTAGCTTAAGAAACCTCTTGGACACATATGCATGCTTGCCCCAAATCTCCACAAGGTGGAGAAATGGAAGAAAAAGGGATTGCAGCATGACTATACACTTTATGGGGTCAGGTTGGCTTTCTCCCTGTATCTCTTTCTGTATATCTCCCTGTCTGTCTCTAGTAAGCACACGTACCCTCTGGCAATTTAAAGTAAAATAAAATAAAATTATAAAATAAAATGGATGAAACAACTACAGGGCAAATTTGACCTTTAATCTGGATTCTGAAGAAGTAATAGAATTACAATAAATGAAAACGAAGGCCACAACAGCAAAAATGGGGGAAAGGAGAGTAAAATATCTATAATTTCATAAGCTTAGATCATAAGAAAGGTTATTTATTTCTTGAATTTTGAGATCAAGGGACATTAGAAGACGACCATAAGACTACATGCCTAAGAAGATGGTGCCAATCATGGAGACAAAGAAGACAGAAAGAAGATCAGATTTAAAGGGAGGAAAGTGAGCTTGTGTCTGAACATGTTGACTAGAAAGTGCTGGTGGGTCATTTAAGTGGAGATGTTTGACAAGAGCTAAAAATGTGGTCTGGTCCTGATGAAAATGATATTATCTAGAATTCACCCCACTGAAAGCTGTTAGTTGCTATGAGAGCAAATGAGATTACTTGGATTGAGGCAGTGAACTGAGAATAAAATAGGGCAGAGGACATTAACTCCTATGTTACATGGATTCCGAGCTTCAGGTCATTCTCATCAGTCTTCTCTCGCATTTGTCAAACCACTGCTTGGTGTTGCAAGGCATCACAAGTGTGGCACACAGAGAAAACAAAGAAATGGAAGAGATGGATACTGCTCTGGGCTTGGACGTGAGACAAGACCCCAACGACCTCAGAGGACTTGGTCATCTCGGGGAGGGTTTTCTGACAGCCAACATCTGCTTGAAGCCAGGTTTCTACAATGATTTAGACTTCAGTGCTTTTCAATTTTTCACATGGCATGCTAAAGAGTTGGAGAGCTTGTTAAGACATATTTCCCACCTCAACTAGAGAGACTAGTAAGTATGGAAGGGTCTGATAGCTTACATTTGTATTGGGTTGTCAGAAAAGTCATGAAGTACTTTTGCATAGAAAAACAAAAATATACGATGACTTTTCAAACAACCAATAGCTCCCAAGTCCATTCCATGAACCACATTTTCAGGAGCACTGATTTAAATCTTTGTATCTATTATTAAGTAACAGAAAATGGAATTAAGAAAGTATGTTGGAGTATCACAAAACTATTAGAAACATCTATCCTTCCCTTATTTACCCCCCCAAAAAAAAGGTAATCGCCAAATTCTTTTGACCAAACCAAACCAAAACAAAAATCTTTGAAACAAAAGGGAACCTATCACTTTGCTTTTTCCTCACCATGACTTTTTTTTTTTCCTATTACAGACCATTCAGATTTTGATTGGAATTATGAACTTTTCCTTTGGACTTGTTTTTCTTTTCACCATGGTGGAACCATACCCAAGGTTTCCCTTTATATTTAATACAGGATATTCATTCTGGGGTTCTGTTTTGGTAAGTACAGTTTAATTAGAACTCATGCCAACTAGGATGTTAAGGAATGATTTAGTTAGGAAATAAGCTGGATCCAGTTGTATGATATGCTTTGAAAGTGCAGTAACAATAATGTCGCTAAAATTAGTTTCCCATTAATTTATCAGTCATTGATATATTCATGGTCTTGAATTTCCTTTAAGAATATTTTTGAGTCTTTGGACCAGCAGTTAGCATAATTGGCTATGTCTCTGGACTGGACTCCCACGTAGTCGACTACGGTTCAAGTCCCAGATCCAGCGGCTTAAACTCACGCCAGGCGCATGTGCGTGCGTGCCCAAGATCCCAAGAGGAGAACGGAGGAGAGGGGATTGCAGCGTGGCCATCCCCCCTGGGGGGTGATTTCTCACTTTCTGTCTCTCTGTCTCTCTCTCTCTCTTTCTGGCAAGTGCACACGCCCTATAGCGAAAACCTCTCCAAAAAAAAAAGGAAAGAGTATTTTTGAGTCTTGAAGTGTTTATTTATTCATTAATTACTTCATTTGAAATTAGTTGCTATTATAAGCCAGAAACACAGACAAGACAATGAGAATCCAAAGACCAGTAACAGATAAATCCTTCTATTAAAGGGCTCTTGTTCTAGGGGAAAAACAAACAAACAAACAAACAAAAACCAGACACAGAAACATGGAAACATGTCTTTGAAGGTAATGTGATAAATGATATCAAAGAGATGCAGGGTGTTTATGTAAGGAGAGATGAAGGAGCGATTTACTCTTCAGAGAAGTGGAAGAGTGGGGAGGGCTTCTCAAATGCACCTTTTGAACTGCAAGAGGAATTTATTCAATCCCATTCAATAAATATTAATTTAGTACCTAATTTAGTGCCGGGGAATGGGAAGGGTATATGGATTCAGGAAAAAAGCAGTCCCTGGTCTCAAGTTCAGTGAAGAGTCAGACAATTACCATGGAGTGTGATAAGAAATAATAGCAGACACAGAGACTGCCTTTAGAGGAAAGGCACCAAATCAAGGGGTGTCCCCAGAGACATTTCCAGCGTGACTGAGATCTGGATGAGTGGCTAATAAGGTGAGGACAGATATAGAGGATAAAACTAGGGGAGGCCTGGGTGTAAGGAATAGGGATGTCTAGTTCCATACCAAGGGAGAGAGATGCAGAAAAGGCTGAAGAGAAGACCACTTTCTATGCTGTAAACTCCAGGAGTTCAGCACACTATCTTATGTTCCCACCCAGAAAACACATTGGATTGCAATAAGATGGAATCTGGTCTTACTGATTGTGAGCTGATTTAACACAGTGTATCATGATATCAAAGCTGAGTCTACAATAGCTATGAAAGGAAGACAGAGAAGAAAACTAAATAGCAGTTTGGTTAAAAACTTATGTTCAAAATAAATAAAGCTAAACAGATTCCCAGCTCAGTGTTTTGTCCACCACTTGGGTACAGACAAGGTGACTTACCCTTCTCACTGCCCTGAGGACTGTGGGAACTCTGAACAGATGTGTGGAAGTCTATTCTGTGAGAACCCTTCAAATCACCTAAACATATCCATCATTAAGAATTATTTTTTTAAACAGTTCATTAATTCTGGAGCCTTCCTAATTGCTACGAAAAGAAAAACCACAGAAAGTCTGGTGAGTTACATTTCCACATTATTAAAGATTGGTAACTTTGAAATAATTCCTATTAGCCCTGAAAATAAATTTGGAAAATCATTAGGTCACCATAATTCCAGAAGCTGTCAAGTAGTGATATCAATTAGTGACATTTTCCTCTTCATAAGCCATGGATCATAAGCCATTAGTTCCAGAATTTTCTAGTCCAGTGTAATTATGATTTTATATATGAAGACAGTGAAACACAGAATGGTTAAATGACTTGCCCAGGTTCCCCAGTCAATTAAAGGTAGATTGGGTCTCAGTACTGTAGGCACTCATTCATTCCTTCTTTCTGTAAGTAGTTTTGGTACCTTCTGCACCGTGAACACTTTAGTGGGCACTAGTTTAACTCATATGAAAGGCACAGTTTAGACCACCTGACTAATCCACAAACAGAATCTCGAAATAAAGAATGCAGGGCTAATAGAGGTTAAAGTATGACTTTTTAAATAAATTATAAGTAAAGTATTTTTACCTTACTAAAAGAAACAAAAGTATGACCAATTAATAAGCCAGTCATGATTTTCAGCAAACTATATCTCTGGTAAGTCTACAGTTTTAGGGAAAAAAAATGGCAACGCAATGTGGCTCTCCCTAAGTACCTCCTTTGTTGCTTATGCACGCTGCCCAATTGAACAAAAGTTAACATAGGCACAGAATGTGGGAGAGGTCACTGAATCTTAGGGCCAGCGGATGGCATGATGGTTAAGGTGCTGGCCTCCTACATGGCTGACCACGGTTTGAGTCTCAGACGTGGTAGCTTGCTTTCTCACTTTCCCTCTCTCTCTCTCTCTCTCTCTGGTGAGTGTGCATGTCCTGTAGCAAATTAAAAAATAATAATGATAAATAAAAATTAAATTAAAAAAAATTCACTGAATCACCTCATTCTGAAACTCAAAGAAATGAAGATAACCCTCAGATGCTCACACCGTTCCTTTGTGTGGAGCTGTCATGCTGAGGCTAAAATCCTGCTCCTAGCAGGTGGCACAGTGGTTAAGGTGCTGGACACTCCCACATGGCAGACTGTGCTTTGAGTCCCAGACCTGCTGGCTTACTTTCTCATTTTCCCTCTCTCTCTATCTCTAACTGGTGAATTAAAAAATAGTAATAATAAATAAAATTAAATAATTCATTATATATTAAAAAAAACAAGTCCTGCCCTCAGATCTCCCGCCAGTTGTTTATCTATAGCACAGGTTGGACCTGAGTCATTGCATCATGCTCTTATTCTCTTTCAGGTGAAATTGAGCCGAATTATGAATTTTCTTAGTGTCCTGGGAGCAACAGCTGGGATCATTCTCCTCACATTTGGTTTCATTCTAGATCGAAACTATATCTGTGGTTATTCTCCAGAAAATACGCAGTGTGATAACATTACAGTCCTATTCCTGGTAAGTATGTTGTCTTCTCAGAGTGACAAATAGATAGTTTGAACAAAAGATTTTTAGCATCCCATTGACACCATCTAGATAATGTTGTGGATGCATATATATTTTATTTTATTTATGGATATTTATCAAATCTATAATATTTGGCAGACATTGGAACCAGCAGGGAAAAGAGGGGTAGAGGAAGGGAGAGGAAAGAAAAAGAGAAAAGGAGAGGAGAGAAGGGAAGAGGTGAGAGGAAGGGAAGGGGAGGGAAGGGAAGGGAAGGGAAGGGAAGGGAAGGGAAGGGAAAGGAAGGAAACAGGAAAGGAGGGAGGGGAGGAGAGGAGAGAAAAGAAAAGAGACAGTTATTTCTGTTCATTCAAGAATAACACTGAAATGAGTGTAAAGGAATGTAAAAGGCATGTATCCACATGGAGAGAAAAAGATAATCAACAGTAGCTTTTTTTCTTAGAAGCTATTAAGAAAACTAAAAAACTGACCATCTAAGGAAAAGGGGGGTCCTAATAAAACATATTTGATATGGAAGACTCTAAGAAATACCAAGCATTTAAGGTAGCATAACCACAGAAAACAGAGCAAAGACCAGAAAATATGGAGAGTGATTCTGATAATGGGGAACTGGGGCATTGGCTCAATCCTTTTCTGAAAACAAAGAGCAACACTACATTTAAAAACAAAAACTTTAAAAAGACATTAAAAGGCTGAAAAGTCAGATAGGACTACTATTAATAGATCACTGTGTAAATGAAAGCCTGTAGCTAGAAGTTTATAAATAAAATACAAAAGAGCACTAGAACTGCTAGTGTCTTGAGGCCATATACCCATATTGCCCATTTGGAATCTGACATACAAAGTATCCCATCCCATAATAGTAAAGAAGGCATGCTGGACAGAGGGAAAAGGGGGAAAAAGCACTTGACGCATTGCAGCCATGAGCCAAATCTCCTTCCGCCCCGCCCCTCACTGGGATTTTAGCCTTTGGTAGGCACTGACTGGATGAGCCACGAATGCTCAAGATCTGACTTTGGTCTTGGGATTTGCGGTTGCTAGCTTCTGACAAGAGCAACACCCAAGGTTGTGCAGGGGAAGAACATCCCATAATCTCAAGAAAAATCGGGACCAGCAGTTAGCGTAATACTGGACTCACATGTAGTCAACTGCGGTTCGTGTCCTGGACCCAGTGGCTTAAAACTCACGCTGGGCGCGTGTGCGTGCATGCCCAAGAACCCGAGAGGAGAATGGAGGAGAAGGGATTGCAGCGTGGCCATCCCCCCGGGGGGTGATTTCTCGCTTTCTCTCTCTCGCTGTCTGTCTGGCAAGTGCACGCATCCTACAGCAAAAACCTCAAAGGAAGAACATCCCATAATCTCAAGAAAACTCATGCCAAATTGTCCACTTAAACTTTTTAAAATTGAAGAGTAGGTTTAGGGTTGAATGAATTTTCATCATCTGAACATCCTTGTATCAAGTTACTGTTTTTCCCTCTTTTTATAATGTAGTCTTTGGAATGAAGTCACTATGTGCCACCAAAATTTAAAGAGTAGAGAGGCTCCTATTCCTTGAGGACAGAGTATCAAGAAAATTTTTAAAATTGTTTTGAACAGAGGATTTGTCTATTCTTCCTCACATATTTATATATTCGGTCATATATTTATATCAACATAAACTTTTTTTTTTTTTAGCTTTTTCTATAGGGCACATGTTCTGACCAGAGG